CATCCATCCATCCATCCATCCATCCATCCATCCATCCATCCATCCATCCATTTATGGTTAACTTCTCTTTTCTCTGAGTCGGATCATAAATGTCTTCATTTTCTCCTCCTCAGGTGAGATCATTCAGAGGTTAAAGGTCGTCAGCATCACCTCTTCCCGCCGACGCTGGACTAAGGCTCCTCATTGGCTCACCTTTGACCCCTCTCGGATTGAAAATGTCTCTGTGGCTGAGAGGTGAAGGAATCGCTGACGTATTTTCACCCACTCAGGATCTGTGGAATGTTCTTCTGTGAGAGAAAAAGGTCTTAATCTGTAGTTTGGTGACCATGGAGTAACAGCTGAGTGGGATTTTCCTGAAGAGGACTGTTTCCAGACGTTAATCCAATAATGGAGCAGGACTTCATACAGTAGGACCTCAGACCGCCCAGTGCTGCTGTATCCCACCCCTTCACAGCTGCTCTTTCATTTCTGAAACTGTTGATGGACCTGCGGGCCTCCTAAAGCTCAGAGGAGACCCACGCTTCCTCTTTCTACTCCCCCCCCATAAACACAAACTACAAACATGGCCGCCACAGGACGGAGGCACCTGGTGAAAGATTTCAACCACTTCATCACCTGCTACCTGTGCCGAGGTTACCTGATCAAACCCACCACAGTCACTGAGTGCCTGCACACCTGTGAGTAAACTCCACCCACACCACACCTTTATAGAGGCAGGAACACCCAGACAGGTGGAGAACAGACACTAATGATGCTCTAAAGTTACAACTCTTTCCCAGTGATGTCAAGCGTAAACTTTACTCCAAAAGGAGGCCTTTCTTTTCTTCTCTCACACTGCGTAGACACCTTTCATATTAGGACCTTCGGCCATTTTGAAAGACCACAGATATACGGCTGAAAGATGGCTAACGATGCGAGCACGTAGGACGGCCTTACATGGGCGCAGGTTTGCATAGGGACCATAGGGACATGTCCCTACCAACATTTTGGACGACCTTCTTGTCTCTACTGATAATTGGATGTGAACAACATGATTATAATTTACTATACAGCAGTAATTGTTGCAGCAGTGGCTTCTTTTCCTCTTGCAGCTCCTCTGCCTGGTAGCTGCAGCTGCCTCGTCTTCCTGTAACTTTGACGTAGCAGCGCATCAACTGTGCTGCGCTGCTTAACTCTCTGACTTTTCTGCCTTAAGTTCCTTCTCTCTCTCTGATAACTTGTTTTCTAGTCTGTATGTGCGCGCGTGCTTGGAGCGTTAAATAAAAATAAAAAAAATGATGCTAGAATACAGCGGTTACCAAAATTAGTATTAGGCTACGAAATTAGTTCCAATTTAAAAACTAAATATTATTCAGGCTAAAACAGGCGAAAGCGTCTGATTGCTTTTCTGTAAAGAAACAGGGAAGTTTGGATTTGATTAATCTAAATGTAAATAACCAACGTTAGGATTTCTTTTCTAAAACTAAATATTGTAGTTGCAGAACATAACAACACGAGAAGGATGCTGAAGATCTGTTAGTTTTTGTTTTCCACATAAAAAATAGTGCTTTTTAATTTACTTCTACTTCTAGAAATAGGATAAAGACAAGCAGAAGAGTTCTATTTACAGTGATTCTATTTTTCTAGATTTCCACACAGTCCATGAGTAAATTAGTTCAAACATTAATGTCTGGTAAATATGGAAGAGGATTAGGGCCACTGAAAAAAAAAAAAGTGAACCGAATTTTTAAATTTTATTTCAGTTTACCATGACTTTTTTTCAGAATTCTGACTTTAATCTCAGAATTCTGACTGAATTCTGACAATAAAAAAAAGTCACAATTCTGACTTTTTCCCATACTAAACTGAAATAAAATTTAAAAATCTTTTTTTTTTTCCTTGGCCCTAATCCTCTTCCGTAATAAGGCAAGCAGCATCGATATTTTATTTCTTTAATAAACGTAGACTGCCTCCAGAAAGACAAGCTTTGTTTCTTTGATTTCTGATCCATTATGATCTGTTGTCTGAGGAAGTGCTTAGAAGAAGGAAACCAGTGAGGATGGGTTAGGGTTAGTGTGGTCTTTGATTGGGACCCTTTTAAGGATTTAAGGGGACGGTTGTTGTTGGAGGATCCAGAGCAGTTCATGTTCTCATTCTTCTTCTCCCGCTAAATAAGCGCTTTCCTTTAATCCTTCTCTCTCATGAGACGGTGGTTTGCGTCTGAATCTAATGCGACGTGTTGGTTCTTGCAGTCTGTAAGAGCTGCATCGTGCAGCACTTTGAGGAGAGCAACGACTGTCCTAAATGTGGCATTCAGGTCCACGAGACCAACCCACTGGAGATGCTCCGGTAAGATTCCTCTCTGCTTCATTCTCTGGTTTCCCTGAAGTCCGTCCTTTAATTAGGCTTATTATACAACCCCCCCACCTGTCTGTCTGTCCCCCACCATGGTCCTCTGGGTCTCAGGTTGGACAACACCCTGGAGGAGATCATCTTCAAGCTGGTGCCTGGCCTCAGAGAAAGTGAGTCTACCGGATGTTTCCATCTGTCTGTCTGCGGAGGGTCAGGAATGATGGAGGAAGTCCACCTGCGTCCACCTCAGAATAACGTCTCTCTTTCTAGACCAGACGTCCCCAAACATTTCAGCCTGTAATCCCAAACATAATCCAACAGTTATCCCTCTGAAACCACGTCTTGGTTCTTTATTTATTTACACATTTAAAGTAAAGTAATTATATGTCATATTTATAGAAAAACCATTTTAATTTACTCCTTAACTCCTTTATTGTTGGTCTTAAAGGAGTCAAGTTTCTAAATGGATGCTTTCAATAGATTCTTCTTTTACTGTCGCTTTAAGAGATGCTGAGTTTCTGAGAAGAGCTTTACTGTTTCTGCTCCTCTGAAGTGTTTCTTTGAACACTTTTGTCGCCGTGGCGTCATTTAAATGTTTGCTTTGATCTGTTGTTCCTGCTAGAAGAGGAACAGGAAGAAGTGGAGTTCTGGAAGAAGAACCAGCCGAGGGAGAACGGCCAAGGTGAGCTGGATCCACGCTGATGGTGGCGCCGGGTTCAGAGACGCTCCGACAACTTCTCACCCAATCCTCTGCGTTCCAGAGAACCTGAAGTATCAGCGGCCCTGGCTCCCCGAGGGCGCCGCCGCTGGAGGGGGCGCTGATGATGACGGTGACGGCGGTGAAGATGGAGACTACCACAGGAGCGACCCTCAGATAGCCATCTGTCTGGACTGCCTGCACAACACGGGGCAGTCAGGGGAGAGCACCGTGACGGTGAGAGGGGTTCGGTTTCTGGGTCTGTGCTCGCAGCGCTTTGGATCCGCCGTCTAACCGATGTGTTTTCTGTCCCATCAGGATCTGATGAAGAGGTTCATCCGCTGCTCCAGCCGCGTCACCGTGGGAACAATCAAGAAGTTTCTCAGTCTTAAACTGAAGCTGCCGAGCTCTTATGAGGTCATTAAAGAAACCAGAGAAGCTCGATTTCAGGGTTTATTCTATTTTACTAACAAACAGATTAACAGATGTTAAGAGTTTAACTTCAGCAAATTATTACCCCATTTACTCTACCCTTGAAAACCCGATCCGAACTAGGATCAGTTAACCAAGCCGAGCTCGGTTCTGACGACCGTTTACACA